TTGAGTAAACTGAGAAAGACATCAGTTTTATCTCTGTGAGATTTTTCCATGAGGCTTTTGGCACTACGGACAGCTCTCTCTGCTAATCCTTTAGACTGTGGATAGTCAGGGCTGCTGGTTACATGCATGAAGTCCCACTGATTTGCAAAGTCTTTAAGGCAATGGCTTATGAACTGGTGTCCATTGTCTGTTATGAGAGTGTGCAGTGTTCCATGGACTGAAAAGTGACATTTCAGTTCACCAATGACTGTTGCAGATGTGAGATTAGGTAGCAGGTCGATCTCAAACCAGCCTGAGAAGGAATCCACAAATACCAAGTACTGCTGTTTGTGCCAGTCGAAGATGTCTGCAGCTAAAGTTGACCAYGGAAGCTCTGGTACAGGGTGCAGGTGAAGTGGCTCCTTTTGTTGATGTGGTTTAGTGCTGTTGCAAACTGTGCATGCCTGTATTTCCTCTTCAATGTCTTTTGTCATCGTTGGCCAAAACACAATGGCTCTTGCTCTCCGTTTTGTGGCCTCTGCACCTGGGTGGCCTCTGTGTATTATACTTAAGTACATCTTTTGTAAAATGTTGGGGATCACAGTTGTTTGTCCTTTCATGACAATGCCATCCTCAATAACCAGTTCATCTCTGAAGGGAAATTAGGGACGCACTGCATGTGGGAGACTGTGCAGTTTGTTTGGCCAGCCCCTTTTGATGGTGTTACTGAGCACTTGGAGAGTCGGGTCAGTGGCAGTGTGCTCTCTCAGTTCCTGCAAGCGAGCAGATGACACATAACAAACTGACATCACATCAAAATCATAGACTTCATCTGCAAGTTGATCTGTGGTTCTCCTGGGAGCCCTGGACAATGTGTCAGCCAAATGCATTTGTTTTCCACTCTTGTATACGAGAGTGATGTTGTATTTTTGAAGCTTCAGCATCATGCAATCTGGCTGGTGCTGCACTGATTGGCTTTCTGATGATTGCCACAAGGGGTTGGTGGTCTGTCTCAATCATGATTGGTTTGCCATAGATGTAATCATGAAATTTAGAGCATGCAAAAACGACTGCTAGTAGTTCCTTTTCAATTTGAGCATACAGAGTTTCTGTGTCTGTAAGGGTGCGTGAGGCATTAGCTACAGGTTTGCCTTCCTGTAGGCATACTGCACCTAGTCCATATTGTGAAGCATCACAAGTGAGTGTGACAGATTTGTGAACATCATAGTARGACAAAACAGGTGGGTTTGACATGTGTCTCTTTAAAGCATCAAACACATGTTGCTGCTGTTCGTTCCATGACCACTCAATATCTCTGTGTGTAAGTTGTCATAGTGGAGCAGTGATTTCACTGTACTTGGGGATAAATTTCCCAAGGTAGTTAACCATACCGAGAAATCTTTGCAGTGCTGGAACGTTGGTTGGCACAGGTATGTCAGTGATCCCTTTGGTTTTAGATGGGTCTGCTTTCAGACCTTAGGCTGTGAAAATGTGACCAACAGAGCTGACCTGATTGAGTCTGAATATGCATTTGAGAGGGTTAAGTTTTAATTTACCTCTCTGGCTCTGTTYAGTACCTTTCTCAGGTTAGCATCATGTTCCTTAGTGTCCTTGCCTCTGATAAGTYCAGTATGTCATCTACAATGATTGCGCAGGGATACCCAGCGAATATCTGCTCCATGGAGCGCTGGAAGACCTCACTGGCACAGCTGAAACCAAATGGCATTTGCAGGAACCTGTAACGACCAAAACAAGTGCTGAAAGTTGTTAGCAATGATGATTTATGGTCCAGTGACATTTGCCAGATTGAGTTTTTAGCATCTAAAACAGAAAACACTGTGGCATTGGACATTTGTGATGCTACRTCTTCCACTGTGCGCATTGGATGGTGCGGCCTTTTCAGAGCTGTATTTAGGTCTTTAGGATTGATGCAGARTCAGATTTCCTTCTTGTCCTTTTTGTTGGTGGCTACCATWGAGGKTACCCAGTCAGTAGGTTCTGAGATTGGTGTGATGACACCCAACTCCTGCATTCTGTCTAGTTCGGCTTTGACGTGGTCTTTCATTGCAAGAGGAATGCGGTYTGCAGGGCGAACTACAGGTCTCACCTCAGGGTCGAGTGTCATTGAAAATGTGACTGGTAGCTTTCCTAGCTCGTCTGTGAAAAGGTCACTATATTCATTTTTGATTTGCTGAGTGAAGTCTTGATCTGTYGAGCTAGTCACTTGATGAACTTCTTTACTGAAAGATATAAGTCCCATTTGTGCTGAAGCACTGAGTCCAAGCAATGGCAGGACGCTCTCATCAATAATGAAGAATGGTATGGTGTAGCTTTTGGCCCCTAGGTGGCAGCAGAGGTCTACACATCCTGAAGTCTCTATCTTACTCCCACCATATGCAACAAGATTTGTGGTTCATTCGCAGGGCTGCATCTGTTATTTTCCTTTTATATTTTTAAAAGTCTTTGCTGAAAGAACATTACACTTGGCACCAGTGTCCACCTTCATTTCAACTGCATTACCATTAGTCAATAATGTAGTGAAAGCCTCATCTTTTTCTTGTGTTAGAGTACAGGCCGAATCTACTGTTGTGTCCATTGTTTTGCCATTTACATAATAGGTTTCACTGTCACTGTCCTCTTTTTGATCCATGTCCAGTTAGTGGACTGACTGACTTCGTCTTTGCCTGTCAAACTGAGGTTTGGATTTGCAGCACTTTCTGAAGTGGTTCATTTTCTTGCWTGCATTACACTGTTGACCAAAAGCTGGGCATTTGTTTCTCGTTGCCACATGATTACCACCACAGTTATTACAGTTTGTGATGAGCTGGGATGTGTTTGGTATGAAGTTAGATTTGTGATAGTCTTGTTTCTTTTCATGTTTGGTTTGAACAACATCCACATTTGTAACAGGGTTATGTGGGGACATTAACATTTTGCTATGCTCTTCGGTCATTTCATGAATTTGGCACACTGAAATGGCCTTAGCTAGAGTCAGATCGCTGTCACGTAACAGAACTTTTCTGAGATGGTCGTTGTTTATGCCACAGACCAACTTATCTCTGATAAGGTCTTCACACAACTCACTGAAGTTGCAGCTTTTTGCTTTGATTCTCAAATCACTTACATATGATTCAATGGACTCACCAGCCTTTTGGGTACGTGTGTTGAATTTATGTCTCTCCATCGTTATATTTGTTTGAGGGTTGCAAATTTCCCTGTGCTTTCTTTTGAGGCATTCTGGGTCCTCCTTGGATTCAGCAGGAATGAGAACACGTCCCCCATCTCCTGGTTCACGTACCTCCACTGTGTAAACAAAAGATCTTTCATGCTCAATGGATTCAGGTCCCGCCAGGTTCAAAAGAATGTAAGCACAGGTCCGTAGCTTGTCAGAATGCGCTGCAGCAATGAAAATGTCATATTCTTGCTCAAATATGCGCCAGTTTTCCGCTATGTTGCCTTCGAACATCAACGGTTTGGGTCATCTGAAGCCGTCCACCATGTCGTGAAGAAAATAAACATGGTAGCTCGATGGTCCCACTCGAAAAAATAAAAATACTCACAGCACACATCGGCCCATGTGAAAACATAAGTCCGAATCTTCTGACACCATGTTTTGTGTCGTGTCATTAAAAAACGACATTGGTATTAAATCTGAACATAGTTTATTTAACAGAACGTGAGCAGCAGGAGACATACATCAGGTGACATCGCCATCTTGAATCTCTGCGCATCTGCAGACCTACGGCAACTCAGAGAGGTCAAATTACTACATGACTGTATTCACAGTGAGTATTCTACATACAGTTTGCACCTAAAAATCTTCCATTGTTTGTCATTGCTGTCAATTTAATCAGCAGGATTTGAGCATAATCAGGTGCTAAGACATGCAAAATGTGCGCCTGTTTGTTAGACTGTTGCCACTTGTAACATGACTTTTATTTCAACTTTGCAAGCCTTCATAGCACCCTGAAATACTGTATATCAGAAGACTTAAAATGTGTATTAAAGACATACAAAGGTTTGCTGAAGATACAGCATCAAACATTGTTGAACTCCTCACATTGGTTTAAGGTTAGAAGTGAAATCTAATCTACATCAAATCACATAGTATTCTCCAGCTTTTAAAGCAGAAGAAGTGTTAGAATTTTTAAAACACCTGGTGACATTTGAGACCAAATGTCACATTTTATAGTGGTCACAATGTGAAGAAAGGAATGCTGATGTGAAATTCTCTTCAAGTTGCAAAAAGTCCATTCGTGTTGCTGAAAATCTTAATTTCCCAACCAATTAACAGCCAAAACCCCACTGACAACTTCAGCTAAAACATTCCACTGCACAGATGCTACTTAATAAAAAGTCAGCAGTTGAGTATAATGAGTTGCTTCATTGTCATGTGGATTGGTATTCAAGAGGAAGCCCAAAAAGTTTTCAGCTGCCAGTGATGCATAATGAACAAGTCTAAAAGAAGCTCTGAACTGATTTGAAAATTGGTCCATGCCAGAGCCTCGTGAAATGGTAAATCTATTAAATGAGAAGCGAGGAGCAGAGTTGCGCTTGGAGTCAAAGAGTGATCAAAGTGCAACTTTTATCTGACACATAACTGCAAATTGAGTTAGGGACAGAGTGGATGACACCAGGAAGGGTGAGGGGAAAGCCAGAAGAGAAGTAAGGAAAGCCAAAGACATAAAATATGCAGAGGAGGATAGATGATCTGCTGGCAGGGAGCAGTGCCTTGGAGAACTTAAATGAAGATAATTTTGCATTCTTGTACACAAATATCTTATTTTAGGGTTARATGCTGATGTTTAATAATCATTACAAAAAATAAAGAGAATGATCTCTCAGTGAAACAACATGTCCTTTGTGCCAAATTTTGTTTGCTGGTGTAACCTGCACAAAGTAACTACTTCCTGTTTTATTGTGGCAGGTCAAACTGACAGGACTGCACTATTTAGTTCCAGGTTGGAGGTGAACTTGTGTCTGCTCATTAGCGGCTGTTGTCTCTGTGGCTAGCGTTTTGCAGTTGGCGTTTTATTGGAATTATTCAAGAAAACTTTCATGTCATCCTGAAATAACTCAACTGAATGATTTGACTATTCTTTCTGACAACCACTCAGTGGTGAGTCATTTGTTACATTTTTTGTTTGTTTTTAATAAAAATGTGGCAGGTAGTCGCCCATTCAATACTGTTTGAGCTAGTGCTACAAAAAGGGGTTTCAAAGATAATAATAAAAAACATTATCTTTTTGCTAATTTTATGGCCGAAGAAATAAAAACGTTTCATAGTGATGAACAAAGATCATGATTTAACTTTTTGTTACGTTTTTTTATTTGTTTAGATGGCCAGCAGGACTTTTGAATTGATTCAAACTTATTTGATGTTGCGCAACAAAATCAAAAACAATTAATGGTTGTTTACTGAAACTTGAATGTTTGATTTGTTTAGTGACTTTAATGTCAATTTAATTTTGATAAAACTTGAAAGTGCACTTTACCTCTCCTTATCTCCTTAACTGTATTAGAATGAGTGATTATTGAGAAATGCTCTATGAAAAAAAAGAAATACTTTATTCATGAATGTGTTGTTATTTTGATAGCAGTAGAAACCTGTTTACATGTGAAATGTTATTTTGTATTTTTATGACCTTGTTTAGGTCAGGGGTTTTTTCCCCATTCATTGTGTGCCCTGTTTCAACTCACCCAGGATGGCGAGCTACCGGATCACCGCAGCATTGCGGTAGGAACTTTCCAAAACAAAAAGAAAAAAAATTGTATAGGTCTTCTGGACGGGTTCTTCTCTAATGAAACGTTTTGTCTCTCCTCCAAGAGACTTCTTCTGTCTGAGAGTTTCAGGCAAAATTCAGGCTTTTTAGCCCTGCCTCCATGTGACTGATACTCACATCACATGGCTATCGTTGACACCTAATTAACACTTATTGTTAACAGGGGTGGAGTGATACTGGCGATAGTCGCGCTGTAGGAGGGGGACAACTGAAAATGGAGCAAAGCCTTTTACAGCAAAGGCAGGTTTAGCTCATCATATCAAGTCTAAAACTCGAAAACATAAGAAGTTTGCTTTACTGGAAACTCGACTCTCTCCGTGGTACACATCGCTTGGACAGCATACCACTTCCAAAGCAGAGGGGCGGGAGACAGAGAAGTGGGTGAAGAATTTGTCTGACAGACAGCTCACCCAGCCAGAAACT